TAGACAAGATTCACTTTAGTCATGCAACATGACACTACAAGATCCATCTTTCTAAAATGCAGATAAAGTAGCATCTCCTTTGCTCTTTAATAGATCCATAGCATCCTCAGGACAGAAAAGGAAAGCCTAAGAAACCAGCAGTTGAGATCTTCCACAACATGTTCCCGGTCTCTTCTTCAGCCTCCTCATCTTAAACCACTAAATTCTCCTTCCCTATTAACCTCCCCTTCCCCACAAACTTCCCCTTCATCACAGCTCAAATGTCTGCTCCTGTGAAAAATATTCTTGACTTCCTGCACTACTTCTATTCAATGTCTAGCTACTCTTGCTTACCATCATATTGATTTACAATTATTACTTTTTACGTCCCTTTCCTACTGAGCTACCTGAGACCTACGACCTAGAAATGCATCTTACTCATCTTGATGGCGACAGTGCCTAACTCAGAGGTAAATCTAAATTGAAATGAGAATGAGCACATGTTCCTTAACATTTGTGAGAGGTGTTAGACCTATAATTACAAACCCAATGTGCAAATATAGACACACAATATCACTTCACTTCTCCATGAAGGTATATAAAAACAATTATGTCAAGAAATTATACAAAATATACTCTCTCCATATACTTAGCCCTTGTATCTATTTTTCGAATAGTGTATTTCAGAGGTAAAACTTGTACATTTTCCCTATAAATGTGCTCCATAGTCATTCTCATTTCCCAGTTTTACATTTCATATAAATGTGAAATCTGGGGAAAAATAAAATCATGAAACTTGTATATGCTGGCTTGAGTGGGAATAATGTGATACCATTTTCATTTAATGGATATATTTGCAAATTGTTTTTCTTATATAGAGTTTTGATCATTTTAAAGAAAGCGGTCATCCAATATTTGACTCATAACATACAATTATGACATGTTAGCAATGCAGAATTACACAGATTGTGACAATCTACCTATACATGTAAACTCAATTGAGATAAAATGCTAGATATATTTAAGAAAACATATCTAACTAAATGAAAAATTTTCTAAATGCGAAGTGTCTCCCAATATAAATTAAAATGATAAGTTAAGATACCAATAATGAAATGGAAAATAGATTTCCTATTATAGCTGCATTTTTAACATTGGGGAAAATAGTAATATATCTATTATAATCACTGTGCCTTATTTTTAAAGGTTTTCAAAAATTCTTTTTTATTTAGCCCTAATAAAGTTTTCTCAGTTTACAGTTTTACAAAACAAAAAAAAGTTTTTCTGATCATATTTTTAGGGGCAGTCTTCTGAAAAGAGTTCTATTTGTACATCAAGGAGGATATTGTTTTATTAAATATATATAGCTGAATGTATTAATATATGTATTCCAGGTCACGCTTTCTACAATGGCAACTATCACAATTTAAAATTCTTTTTTTCAAGGTTAAATTGATTCCCCCCTGGACAAGACAATTCTCATTCATTGTTTCTTCACAGGTCACCACACACAACCACTCAACACACCTATAAATTGATGGGAGAATTCTCATGGTAAGATCCATGATACACAATAGATTAGGATAACAAAGGAAACTAAGAACCCATAGCATCTCTTTCATACTACATCAAATGAGGCCAAAGGTTTTCTAAAACTTAGGTAAGTATGATATGTGAAAGTTCTACAGTCTATAAGTGAATCATGAATACTAAATAAAGCAAATATTCCTTTGTTATATACTACAACAATTACACATTTATACTTAACTACAAATTTGTATTTATACCAATTCAGTTAAATCAATTTTAATGATTTTTTTTAAGCTTCAGAAAAAGATCTTTGGGGTCTGAGTCACTAATATATATTATATAATTTTATTCTATCTAAAACTTTTATAATTCCTTCTTAATGGCTTTTACCTATCTAAGTAATCACTTTTACTGTTCATTTTAAAGGTTTGATTTTATTACAAAAATGAATTAAAATACCTATTTAATTATACCAAAAATTTAAAGGGTCAAAAAAAATTTCTACTGCATTTTTTTAAAAATTTAAACATTAAACATCTGATTAAGATTTACATTATTATAATTAAAATGCTTATTTTATACAAATTATTACTAAGAGAGGACTAAAACACTTCTTCCATAGTAAATAGCTCTAAGTACCTAAAGTGCTTAGATACCCAAATTGATATCTATAGGATTTTAAGTAGAATTTTGTTTTGTTTTGTTTTGCTTTGTTTTTTTTTTTTTTTTTTTTTGTTTTTTGGGGGGTTTTCACTCTATAGGGCGCGTGCGCTCGCCAGACAGATGGAGACATAGAGACAGAAAGCGAGAAATCACCCCCCAGGGGGGATGGTCATGCCGCAATCCCTTCTTCTCCATTCTCCTCTCGGGATCTTGGGCATGCACGCACACGCACCTGGCATGAGTTCTAAGCCACCGGGTCCGGGACGCGAACCACAGTTTACTACGTGGGAGTCCAGCGACATAGCCATTACGCTAACTGCTGGTTCCCTGTTTTTGTTTTTTTTAAACCAAGAAATAATTTGACTTAAATACTAAACAGGTAGGCAAAAGGATTAGATTTTAGACCAAAATTTTTATGATTATTAATAAATTACTTAACTTTCATGTGCCTCAGTTTCAATACCTAAACATACGTAAGTCAAATAAAACTAGTTTTAAGGTGCCTCCACATCATAAAGGTCAAAGATTATGAAGAAAATCAATCTCACATTGACCCTCAAGTTACCAGAAAAATTAACAGTGTAGAAAACTGTCTTCTGATTTGGAAAAATGACAGTTCCAGAAGAATTTAAAGTTTGAGAACAAAATCACATATTAGTGCTTATCTCCAAGAAGAAATATTTTTTTTTGGGGGAGGGAGGTTTTCACTATAGGGTGTGTGCGCTCACCAGACAGACAGAGAGACAGAGATACAGAAAGTGGGAAATCACCCCCCAGGGTGGATGGCCATGCCGCAATCCCTTCTCCTACGTTCTCTTCTTGGGATCTTGGGCACGCACACACATGCACCTGGCTTGAGTTTTAAGCCACCCAGTCTGGGACGTGAACCACGGTCAACTACGTGGGAGTCCAGCGACATAGCCATACACTAACTGCTGGTCTCCCAAGAAGAAATCTTAACAGTGTATTCTAACTTTCCTTCTGGCATATGCCATGTGACTGTAGTATATCTTGACCCTAAATCCATTGCTTTTCAGTTATATCCAACACAAAAGAGAAATAAATTGATCTTGATTATTCCAATGCCCCAGCCCAAATTTCAAATTTCAGAGTAGTCTGGCTTCTGGGCACCATTTCTGAGTCATTTACTATAACATTAAATAGATCTTCCAGGGGAGGATGTAGAAGGAGGGAATGGTCAAGACTTGTCAACAAACCAAATTCTAGGCATTCTTTTATTACTTCCCAACAGTTCATTCAAAGAGCAAGGCATTTTGCCATCCTATTAACAATTTTCAGAACTTTCACTTATCAGAAAGACAGACTAACATATATGCTGTAGGTCACCTCAATGGTGGCCCTGAAATCACATAAAGGTCCCCTTCCAATACCTTTCTACCTAAAGAACACATTCCATTGAGGTTCAAGTTTAACTCAACTTCTGGAACCCACAATTTCATGAACGTCTCCAAGTCATGAGACACTCTAATCCTGAATCCAGGTTGCTGTTGGGGTTACAAGTTTGTCATTTTACTCCAGAGAAACATACTCACAGGGAGCTCTCTGATAAAGGGGAATATTCTTCCACAAGTGAATTGTAAGTCATAAACAGGAAGTCATATAACACTCAAAGAAAATTAGAAGTTTTCATTCATCTAAAAGAAAAGTACTCTTCTTATAAAATAAAAAAAAAATTTCTAATTATCTAAGCTTCTTGGATATATCTAGATATTTATCTTATGTTAATGAAGAATTTCTGGAGGTCAAAAACAATACAAGCTAAGATTCTGATCACTTTCTCTTACTTAAAGATTCATACAACAAGCCTGATAAATATCTATTCTATTTCATAGAGAAATACCAATAAATCAAATACTTAATGAAAAAGAGAAAAAAGAAAGCCAAAGTGAAGTTTCACTCATAAATCATAATTAGCTTTCAAAAACTAATATATTTCTTTATGAATATAAACCTCGATAAGACAAAACTATGAAAATTTCATGACTTCAAAGCTTTCAATTGAAATGAAATTGCCTTATTTGAAAATTTGTTTTCTGTGATGTGATAGATAAAACACACACACAAAAAAGAGAAAATAATGAAATCATCTTTAAGAAGTCCGAGATTTAAATGTCCAAAAGGAAATAAAATACAGAATTTATGACTAAAAGGATGAGTTTTTAAACTAAAACAATGAAAATGAATTTTTCAGAAGTAGAATTTTTGTAAGATTTTTGCCATAGGGCACATGTACTTGCCAGAGAGAGAGAAAAATACAGAGAGAGGGAATATAAGAAATTACCCTCCAGGGGTATGGCAATGCCACAATCCTTTCTCCGCCAATCTCCTCTCAGGATTTTGGGCAAGCACATATGCTCAGTGTAACTTTCCAGCCACTGGTTCCAGGGCTCGAACTATGGTTAGCTATGTGGGAATCTAGTGCCTTACCCACTACACCACCTGCTGGGCCCTAAAAGTAGATTTTTTTAATTAATACAATTGTCAAGAAAAAATATTTTGAATCTTAATTGGATGACATAGTTTTTCCTTCAAGATGAAGTTCAAGTAAGAATTAGAAAAACTCTACCCAGAAGTCAGCGAACGCTCCACATTCTTTGAATTCAAGCTAGAACTAACTTGAGCCTAGTGGAAATGTCAGAATGTTTGCATGGTCAGTGAAAAAGCTTAATTTGTACCATTATAATCCCATGTTCAATTTTTTCCATTTCCTTTTATTCACAGTCACTGTTTTACTTATTATCAGAATGTGTCTAAAACAAGAGCAATAAATGGAAATGCAGTTTGAGGATGGAAAGGACATCTCTTACCCTGGCAGAGTGGTGTGAGAGAATCCCACTGGTACATGCCAACTGGGTTTCGTGTACACGTGGCATTGCTGTGGCCGATCATTCGATACCCGGACTTGCAAAAATAATGCACTTTACTTCCGACTGTTCCTGCAGTTCTATTTAAAATCCCACCATTTTTCAGGGGCTGGGTCAAGCTGCAGTAAGGTGCTGTGGGCACACAAACACACATACACATAAGTGTACACATACTCTACTGGTGTTTTTCTCTTGGTGAAAGTAAAATCAAGAAATATCTCTATGTGTTAAGCAGCAGGAAAAGAACAACAGCACATAAACCTGTTCTTAAAAGCATCCCCAAAAGCGAATAATAGGTTTAATTGACACAAAAACAAAAAGTTAATTGCTGCTGACAAGGTATATGGTAATGTCTTTGTCTTGACTGATATGCGCTGTATTTGTGCTGGGGAAAAGTGTTGTACACTGTAAAGATATACAGTGATTAAAAGTAAATAATAAATGTATTGGGTTGTTTGGGAAAGTCATGACACACTTTTTTTAGAGATTTTTGCTATAGGGCATATATGCTCACCAGAGAGACAGAGAGAAACATAGAGACAGAAAGTAAGAAATCACCCTCCCTGGGGGGACGGCCACACTACAGTCCCTTCTCCTCCATTCTCCTCTTGGGATTTTGGGCATGCATGCACACATGTCTAGCATGAGTTTAAAGCTGTCAAGTCCAGGACTCGAACCATGGTTGACTATGTGGTAGTCCAGTGACATAACCATGATGCCACCTGCTGGTCCTAGTCATGATTCATTTTTGTATAGAAAAGCATGTCATGACTTTTCAGGCAATTTAATAAATTTAAAAAATTATGATAAAATAAAGAAAGAAAAGTATCCCAAAAAATTCAGAGCAAAGATTTAGTCTCATATTCTAGAGTTCGGATTCCCTGCAGCTGTTCATCAACATGAAGGTAGAATTCTGACTACTATATTGTAAGGAAATACCTAGGAAGATCACAATGATGCCCTCACTTGTTTCTCTCAGGTTGGTTACCCACTTTAATAAACTTATTTATCAGTAGATTAAGAAATGATAGGATTCTGCTCAAGGCACCAAATTAGAAAGAAAAATACTCTGAACATTAAAAAAGAGATATTTAAAATGGAGAAAGTAGGTTATAACTTTTTTTTGTAATCAAAGTCATTAACTTTTTTCATGGGTGTTCAAGTGGGCCTGGTGAATTATAAAATGGTATAGTCATTAAGTGTCTTTTTAACATACAGGAATGGAATAAGCTCTTTGAAGAAGATGTAACACCTCAGGTCAATAGAAATCTTAAGATAGCTTTAATCATATTCTTTGCAGAGAGACATTTTCAAATTAGCAACAAGCATTTGTTCAAATAAGTCTTACACAGAGTATAACATTTCTATAGATAACAGAATATAACATTTCTATAGATAAAAGGCTCTGAATCTTATTTACAAATTCAGACAAAGAAACTTGCTTTATCTTTTCAAGACCAGTTCATTATGACATGAAAGCCTATGAATTCCCTTCAGATGAATTAAAACAATAAAACAGAGAAAGTTGTTGAATTCTGGACACTCTTAGTACCTTTGAAAGAAGACGTTTTCAATGTTCCACTTCCCTCTGGGGCTTCTTAGACAAAGCACACACATGTAAGTCTGAATGCTTAATGTTACACTTTTCTTCAGAAATAAATTCAGAAGAAACTTTCTGAAGGTTTCCTGTCTTGGCAGTGTCCAGAAACAACATTTATGTGTCTGGCCTCAGTTCTGAACCATGTTTTATGAGAAGCATCCTCAGAGAATATTTTCAGCTGGATGGAAACCTAAATTACCTCTTAATTCTATTTTTTCTTAAATGAGCTGATTTTTATCATGTGAAAATCCACTAACTGCTAAAAGAATCTCTTGATTTATCGCTCCATTGGATATATCATTTTCTACCTCCAGTTGTTCTAGATCAAATTCTTGTAAATTTTAAATGGACCATGGTATTTACTTTTGGAAAAGTATGATCACAGTCAGAAACTGACTACCAACTGCCCTGAATCATTGTGTTAGTCAAAAATAATAAAATAAAATAAAATAGAAGAACACTCAGACTTAATGTCTTCTGCAAAGTTAGAGATAAGGTAATTAAAAATAAAAAAGAAATAGAAAGTCTGAAACACCCATTCAAGGACATTGAGGGGGTCAGCGATGTGGTAATTAAGGTGGCTGGATCCCACATGGCCGACTGCACAGTTTGAGTTCCAGACCCAGTGGCTTGAAAATCATGCTGTGTACATGTGTGTTGCCACAGTTAAAACAAGCTGAATTAGGTTCACTGTGATTTCCCTGGCACTCACAGCTTTTGCACACTGGAAATAAACCAACATTTTTAAAAGTCTGATTACTTATCTCATTTTCAGGAATAAGAAATGTGGTTTACTCAAATTCATCATTGCTCAAATGTGCTTCAGAGGAGAGGTCTAGGTATAGCCTATTCAACTTTTTCCAGAAAGAATATACAAATTCCTATCCATTATCCTCACAACAAGGGCTTCTTCAAATCCTTAATGCCCTTTAACATTTCATGATGTCTATCAACCAGAAAGCTGTAATCGTATCACTAAAACTACCAAGATGCTTTCCTTTTCCTCCCTCAGGGTATTCATCACCACTGAAGATGTGAAACATCAGCATAGGGATAAACCATCTTCTGTCAAGGCACACTGTCTGTTGAATGTATTCATTGAGCATCTTCCTTAGTGACACATGTTGCAATGTTACCATGAGTAATTAAAATGTCTTCAGGAGTTAAAATAGTGAGCCTTTTGCTTTTGTAGGGCTTTACAAACTTGGCATAGATCAGATCAGCTTGACAATTGAATATAGATATAGATACATGATAGTTAATTGATTAATTAATTAATTTCATTAGCATAAATGCAAGCAGAGAATGAATTCTATGGAGAAAGAGTGAAATAATTTACATTTTTTTCGAGAGAGGGATTTTTGCTATAGGGAATGTGTTCTAGCTGGTGAAACAGAGAGAGACAGAGAGACAGAAGGTGAGAAATTAACCCTCAAAAGGATGGCCACCCTGTACTCCCTTCTCCTCCATTCTCCTCTCAGAATTTTGGGCATGCATTCACATGCACCTGGTGTGAGTTTAAAGCTGCTGAGTCCAGGATTCAAATCACGATCATCTACATGAGAGTTCATCGATATAACCATTTTGCCATGTGCTGTTCCAAATAATTTACAATTTAATAAGAAAAAGTATATATTAAACACATATTAATTATATATACATGTTTATATTTGGATGTATATATATGTATGTATGTACATTAGGGGTCTTCAAAGAGCACATGGAATATGCATTCTATGAAGACTATGTATGTGTTTCAAAAATCTCTTTGCACCAAAATAAACTTGTACTTTAATTCCATTTTCTACAAATTTTTAAAGTACCCTCATGTATGGTATATATTCATATATAAAGATGGAGATGTACAGATAGAATAAAATACACACTAGTAATCAATTATTACTCACTTATACAATTGACACCAATATAATTATCTCTTCCCATTTACTTTAATAATGTTTAAACATATTTTAAAATAAATTTGGATTAAATTATTATGTCTTTGGGGAAATACTTTTAGTTTTTGTGGTATACAATTAATCTTTGAAAATCCAATATTTATTGTAAATACCTTAATTTTTTTTATTTAACGAAGATTACTTATATTAAAAACACTTTCATATCAAATATAAACCTAACTTACTCACCTGCATAACGAATCTTGAATCCTTTTTTACTTGTTGCATGATCAGTGGACCAGCGGAGATATAAATGATTACTCCTGCTTGTATAATTGGATTGTTCCGTATGGTTCCCACTTAAGACGACTAACAGAGGACTTTGCCCAGAGGGACCTAAATGAAACAGCACATCAAAAAATTCAGAAAGAACATCTACGAAGTGCAGACTGCTTTTAGCTGAAGATGAAATTGTAGCCTACAGGAACAATATATAGGTATTTATTACCAAAGTGGACAAAAAATCCAAATGATTGTAAGAACAGATATATCCTGACAAAAATTAAAACAATAACTGACAAAAATTAATTCAGTTGTATAGCCTCTTAATGACATAACATTTAAACCAAAGTATTTATTTCAAATGATATTGAAGTGCATTATATTATAAAACAGCAATATTGAAAAAAATAACATAATTTAGACTACCATTGGTATTTATATTTTCCTGATATAGAAAAACAGAGACATTCATGCAGTATTAGAGGAAGTATAAATGAGTAGGATCACTTTGCATAGCAATTGGGGAATGCCTACTAAAATAAAAGGTCTGATGATCTTTCCATGAACTCTTGCATATGTATATGAGTATTATTTACATAGTAAAAAGCATATATTCCAGCATTATTTCTCCAAATTTTGGATCTAAATTAATTGTTTGAAGTTTTAAATAGAATTAGAATGCTATGAAAAAGAACTAAGTTCATACAGCATCTAAATCAATGATCTGGATATGACAGTATCAGTATAAGTAATTTTTTTAAGTCTAATCCACATTTGTTTGCTTAAAAGAGCATGCCAATGATTAAAGGATACCTGCAAATACATATGATAGAAATCGTGTAAACATTCAAAAGTATGCAATATATAAAATTTATGTGTATGTAGACCAATAAAGGAGAGGTAGAGAATGAATTATTAAAACATGCATAACAATGACCCATCAACTCCGAATTTAGGAATACTAATTTTTCTCCAGGAGAGGTGCTAGAGAAATTAGATATAGATGGAGCTTTAAATTTATCTGCATATTTATTATTTTATTTTTAAAAAGGCCAAACGTGTATTTGAAATAATCTTAAAGGCATCTATATTTTTCACTTTTTACTTTTCTCTGTACTTGAAATTTTCCAAAAAATTTTAAAAATAAAAGTACTATCACATATATAGTTAATAAAAGCAAAGGCAGCGTGTAATCAATTAGCAGCACTATGTGTCAATGTTATTTCTTACGAGAAATTGTTTTATTACATATAAAAGTTATATTCACACTTCCAGGGGCTCATCAATAGTCATAGTCATTTTGTTTTGTTTTGTGCACTTCTGTTTATAAGCCAGATGGTAGGTATACTTGCCGAAGAAAGAGAGGGGGAGGGAGAAAGCCCTGTCCTACACCCCAAGTCAGTCATGGCTACATTACTATTCTTTCTCCTCCCTCCTGTTGGGATTTTGAGTAAACACACAAACTTCCGGTATGTTTTTCAATCCTCTGGGACCAGAGTTTGGACTGTGGTTAGTCATATGGAATCCAGGTCCCTTCGGTCATAGGGCTGGCCCTTGTACAGTCTTCCAAAGCTGTCCTGTCTTTTCTCCTTTTACAATTAATTCCCAGGAAACACATTATAGAATGGGAGACTGTGGCTCTGGTTGCTTCTCATAATGTAAATTTTATCAAGTTAAGTGACATCTACCTTTAAGAATTATATATAGAATTTTTATTCATATGGATGTATTAAGGGACCACAGTTTTATTCATTGTGTAACTTCTACTCAGAGTAGTTTTAATGATTTTTTCCAAATAAAACTGCTACGCAGTAAACAGTATTTCTCCCCCACAACCCACCCCACCAAATTCACATGCGTAAGTTCTATAACCCCCCAGTATTTTGGAATGTGACTCTTTTTGGAGACTGAGGATTTAAAAAGATAATTAAGGCTATGTGATATCATCAGGGTGGGCCCTAAGTCAGTATGACTTGGATCAGGACACAGACAGTAATAGAAGGGAAGACAGGATGAGGGCACAGGGAGAACATGGACACCCAGAAGCTGAGGAGAGAAGCCACAGGAGAAACCAATCCCAGGGACATCTTGTTCTTGAACTTCCTATCTCCAGAACTGTGAAAAAATAAGCTTCTGTTTAAGTTATCCAGTTTGTGTATTTTCTTATGGCAGTTCAAGTGAAAAAAAAAAATAATAAAAAGAACCTCATAGCACGTTAAATAAAAAGAAGGCAATGTTGAGTTTGATCACAGAGAGGAGAATCAGAAGAAATGATACTTCTTAGTGTAAAAGAATGCCATGAAAAAGTTTTCTAGGAGATACCCTGCTAAAGCATGATAGTATTTTACAGATGAAGAAGACACGGGCCATGCTGTGGCCTGTGGTTAAGGTGGCTGGATCACACATGGCAGACTACATAGTTTGAGTTACGGACCTGGTGGCTTGAAAAACATAGCAGGTGCATGTGTGTATGTGCCCAAAATCTCACAAGGAGGAAGAAGTGGAAGACTAGAGAGTGCAGTGTCGTCATACCCCATGGGAGCAGGCACTTACACGTTTTCTCCCTCTCACTCTCTGTTGAGTGGATATGCCTTCTGGCAAATTAAAAAATACATATATAAATAAGAAGACATACGTGTATTTTGTGACCTGGTTCACTTGTTGTTGTTTAAAGAAATAATGTATATTCCAGAATAAAATGCCACTGGAAGAGTAGATAACCTCAGTTTAAGATATTTTGAAGTTATTCTTAATAGCAGTACTCTAAAGTTGCAGGTATTATTAATTCAACTTCTAATTCCTCATTATTTTCCATCTCTTCTCTTTGCCCGAAATGGAAGAAGCTTCCTTTAAAGGCGTACATCCAATTTGGCATGTGTAGAAAAGTAGCGCTGACTTCAAGGAGAGCAGTAATTGCTGGTTCCAGGATGGAAACTAATAAGTACTTCATGAGTCAACACCAGAACCTTTATTTTGACCCTTTTCTCAACTGAGTTTTATAATGATTACTATCCTATTTTCAAAGTCTTGTCTATTCACTACCTGAGCCATAGAGAGTAATGTACTGCTAGGCTAATGAAGTTTAAAATCAACAATAGTACAAACATGTTTTTTGTATAACGTATGAACTCTTAAGAGTCCCTATTTACCAAAAGAGAGTGAGAGAGAGAGAGAGAGAAAACGAGTTACACATGACATTTACTGCAACAAAAATGCCATCACTTAAAAAGATTATTCACAGAAAACTGACCTTTTACTTTATAGAAAAATCTTTGAGATCAGAACCACCCTTGTCGTAGATCTCTGATCATTCTGACAGCAATTGCTAGAATATTGTATTTGTTTTCTACTTTATGTGTCATTTATAATGCGTATGAATCATCAATAGTACAAATCAAATGGTAGCGACTAGCGCACAAGTCATTGATAACAATTTCGCTCATAAAATTAAGAAACATAAAAGTACTTCCAGCTAAGTTCCAATTCAATGTGTGACAAAGGAATATGCCAAAAAATTTTTAAATGATTACTTAAATATATTATAGATGGTATGTATAGAAATACATAAGTATACATGAGGAGATTTCAGAAAGTTTTTGAAAAATGGAATTAAAATATGAGTTTGGATGCAAAACATTGTAAGTCTGTATATATATATATTCTTTATAAATTCATGAGTATTATGGAAACAGATGAGTAACATATATGGGAGGGTTTTCAAAAAGTTCACAAACACACAGACACACAAGATAGGAGACTGTTCCTTTTCCTTAAGATTTTTTGCACAGGGTTCATGCACGCACCAGACAGCAAGACAGAGTGAAAGTTGGAAATCACCTCCCACCCCTGCAGGAGTGATGACCATACTTCAATCCTTTCTCCATTCTCCTCTCAGGATTTTGGGCATGTGTACACACATGTCCCATGTGATTTTCAGGCCACCAGGTCCAGGACTTGGGTTATTTTTATTTAATGTGCTATGAGGTTATTTTTATTTGTTCATCAGAACTGCCATAATGAAATATCACACACTGGGTAACTTAAACAAAAGCTTATTTTTTTCACAGTTCTGGAGGTCCTACATTCAAGAACAAGATGTCACTGGGGTTGGTCTCTCCTGTGGCTTCTCCCCTTGGTTTAAACCACAGTTGTCCATAAGGAAGCCATAGTGCCTTAACCACCGTGTCACCCACTGGCCAAGTTACAGACCTTTTTTAATAATTGTATAACACTTAATAGGCCTCAGGATACAATTTACCTGACTTTCTCACTGACATCAAAAACCCCATTTTTACTTAGCTATGGGATACCCCTCTGTTTCTAAAGAATAAAGGAAACGTCTTCAAAATAATAATGTAGGTCTGTTTTAACACATACACTCACTGAAACCAAAAGTATTACTCTTTAGTTTTCTGTTTCTATGTGTAAAAATGAGTTTAATTTTAAATTTATTAGTTCATCTTTGAAATACATAAATGCATTCAGTGGTGTCTATCCATACAAGCAGTTTGATAGCTAAGATTCACCAAGTCAGTAAATGTATACATATACACAGAATCAGTTAAATTTTTTCCACTAAATTGTTATTTAAATTAAATTCAATGAGAAATCCATCAAAACACATAGAATCCCTATTAGTATATACAGCCATAATTGCATCGTGGACTAATTATCTGAGCTATAATGATGCTGAGAAAGGAGACAAGGACCCAGGAAAATATAGTTAGGGTATTGGCCCAAAATGGAATCACAAAATTGCTAAATTTTAATATGGAGACACAACAGCTCAGCAGCAGCTTAACCCACTTTTCTGCTTGCTCACAAGAAACAGCTTGCCGCAGTGACTCAATGACTGACCTAAAGCAAATATAGCAATTAAGACTGCTTCCAGGTCACGCTGTATTCCAGGAAGAAGATAGGGTATTTTATGGTCCCAAACTTTTAGACAAGGAGAGTCTCATAACCTTAGTACCCACTCCAAAATTAGGAGACTAACTCGATTCATCTTGCATGTGACCTGGACCATAAGAGGAATGCATACATAAGCCCCTCCTAAGAACAAGTCAGAACAAAGTCTTTCCTAATCAAGATAAAAACTCTTCATCTCAGTTTCT